GCATTTTTGTTATTTTAATTTGATTTCTAACTTTGTTATCTACTATATGTCATAATTTAATTAACATTTCTTCAAATATTTTTTGATTTATTTATAAATAACCTTAGGTGTCCGCCACTAGGGGACTTCCCCCTACCTTGTATTAATTCACAACAAAATGAGTAATTTACTGAAATCTGTTTGTTTTAGGTGTTGTAGACGATAAGTGGAAGCAGGACTACGTGAGTGACTGAGAATAACTTGTGATCTTATGTTAATTATTGCCTTGTGGCTGGTGGCAGCGAGTGGCGGTCTTCTCGCGATAATAACCGGTAAAAGGTAGCTACATCCCAAGACCCACGTCCTCCTCGCTCGGGCATCAACAACACAACTAACTTCAGAACGGCCGCGAGCTAATGATAAGAAACAACGCCAACATCCTTGTCCTGTGTCTGTATCTTGTATGCCACAAACACAACAGTATATAATACTAATATTAATCTCTAAATATAGGTAGACTACAATAATTTTTACTACTGTGATGTTTAACACTAAATCTAGAAATAATCTATTAGAGAAAAATCATGTTAACATTTTATTTTTATTTATAAAATGTTTGTGTTATATTTATTATTCGTTTGTTATTAGTGATTATGTGTTCTTAAATAAACGTAGAATCCTTTTCACACACGCAATACGAAAATCCCTATTTGTATTTTGGCAATTAACCAATGGTCTGTGAGAGCATTTAATCAATTCCTAAGATGAACGATATAATTGTTTCCTGGCTATGAAGATGGAAGAACATTTAGCTTCTTGCTGTAATATGCTTCTTGTGATCCCCGACAACGGAGTGGTACTCCTTCTTTGGGTTATCCCTTGGAATTAATCATCTCGATAGTTTTGCACAACCGCTTCTCCCGCACGATGAAAGCATATTATTTGTCTTAATTAAAGCACCACGTTTTTGATTTATGACCTTTAGTATTCTGTATGTTATGTTTACTTTATTGGATGTTTTTCTTTACTAATAAAAACAATAAAAACAACTTGATATATCGCAGTGTAAATAAAGTATTAGTAAACTATTAGAATTGAGTACTTAATTAACATGTCGTAATTTTTAACAAAACAGATAATTTTGAACAATATTTCCCCAAGTTTTATATATTAAATGTTTATTTAATAAAACTAAATATATAAGCAATAAGATTTGATTTGGTTTTATTAAGTTGTCGTAAATAAATAAATAATAACATTGGAATATAGTTATTTAAAGATAATTTCAAAATATGCATTGATATACTGATAATATTCAAACACTGATATGTAAACTGTGCGCTTGTGAGAAACAATCGACATCATTTTATCACTAAAAATATTTATTTCAATACCTATAGCGCCATCTACTGAGCATCATGTATACTTATACTCCGATATGGACGCAAATTCTCTTTCCCTCTGCTGTTCGTAAGTCTAACCAACGTGTCGTAGTAATCTCCAGTTAGTTTTGGTTCAATGAGCTCAATACAGCAGGCGTACCACTTTTCCACACCACGAGTACCACTAGTTTATGAAAAGTACTGTGATCAGGGCAAGCCCAAGGACAAACCTTGTGATAGACAGACAAAGATTTAAAAGTCCCGCTCGTTCTAACACACGAAACACCGATATCGCGCAGGCTCTGCATGCAAGGAAGACGCGATTTCGTATGTATCGCTTTCTCCGCTTATCTAACGCACACTCGGATGTTGTATTTCTCTCGGCATGCACTGCGACCGGGAGTGAAGGTGGTTATCGTATTTAGTGATGATGAGGATGATATTCTATCTCTCGCGTGATATAAAATAAATCGAGGAATAAGTGAGACTGCTTGAACTTCGATAAATCTAATGTGCAACAGTGATTGCATTTGGTATACGCGTCGTTTTTGTTTTTAAATTTAACGGTAAGTTCATCGGCAAATTGGTTTCTAGCGCACAGGATGCTCTCGTTAGGTTATAGTCAACTCGCCTTTATTATTTACCTTTAAACCTGACTTCTTCTAGAAACATTCAGCATTTGATAAATTAACGATTATATCACGTGTTTTGCAGATACTCGATAGATTTTGATTTTGTTTCAACGTTTGCAAGAAGTAAATTGCATAATGGGATAAACAAAGTAGCAGAGCTTGATAAATCAATCCAATCAGTGGAAATCTAAATGTAAATATTGAGGTTTCATGTAGTGTTTATAGCGTTTTATAATAATGGAAGTGCATTGCTTGTATGGATTATTCTAGGTGGTAAGTTGTGCTTGGAAATTGCTTTTGTGATTTGTTGTTGTTGATGCATTTTTGTAGCTTCTCAGCTGAAAATACCAAACATAACCTCTAAATTATTTAACAACCTCCTAAAGATGAACAGGGACGATCCACGACATCATCAGGGACAATATCGTGGCCACCATCAAAACAGACGGTATAATCGCGGCGAGCGTGAGGGTTCGTTTAAATCACATTATGAATCAGGTTCCTGGTTAGAGAATCAAAAGAGGTAATTTTCTGTCATTTATTATTTCTTTATTCAAATGAAAACTCTTCATATTATAAATTGTATTAGATACTCTTTAGTTATTTATATTTTAAGTTACCTAGAAAATAATTTATTGATAGAAAACCATTGTTCCAAAGAAGCGCTGCTGGTTGGCACAAGACGACACATATCCGAGACTGGAACAAGCCCCGGCGCCCATTAGGGCAATCTCAGGAGTTGCCGCCAGGCGCATTGCCAAAACCCGTACCACCGCCGCCCACAAAGCCCCTGCCTACCACTGAAGAGTTGTTCCAGGAGAAGATCAAACAAACATCTGGCTCTTTACTGAAACAAATGGAGGAATGTCCCGACGCTGAGCTGGTCCTTCCTTCGCGAAATTCAATGGATTGCCAAATGAAAGAGGACACCAATGAAAACATCCTCCCGGCGATCAGCTATCTTCAGGCGGAAGCGGATGCAACGGCCGCTGAGCTCAGCGCAAGTAAGAAGAAAGCGAAGAAAGCCGCGCTGCACGCTCAGCAAGAAAGGGTTCGTGAGATTGTTCAAATTGTTCGACAATTGAAGCGACAGGAGAGGCTCAAGGTATCGCGTGACATTAGGGATATGCATAATAAGACGCGGAATATTGACGAGTGTGATAATATCAATGCCCTTGTACCTGATATATCTGTTCAGCTAAACGTGCTGCCTGATGAATGTATTGCAATAATATCGAGCATTTTAAACAGTGATTTGGAACCGCTGCCAGAGCCTACGGATGCTCCCGTAATCATCCAGGATTCGAGTTTTAATGTAGATAATTCGAATTCAGGTGGAAACGAGTTTTACGATCCGTTTGAGTATGACATTTGCGACAATAGTTCACAAGAATCAAGTCGTTTTGATGCTGTACAAGAGCCACCACATCATGCCTTGCACACCTATCCCGAATCTAATACACGAGAAAACAACTTTGACGATGACTCTCGGTCTCCAACTAGTGTTGATATAAAGCCGGAACCCGAGTACATTCGGACGTATAAATATCACATCAAACCTGGTCGCGCGGAATCGCGTGGACCAAACAAATTTAAATTGAAGCGCGATCTTTCGAACGACAACGGACATAGCTTTAATAATACGCGAACGACACCACAGCCAGTGCCGCATCCAACACACTCGACCCGACCTTACAACCAACGTAGCCAGCGAAGTCCAACACGCGAAAGCAAACATTTTCGTTCACAAGTGAAGCGTCATGAAAAAACACCTCCACCTCTAATTATTGGCCCGCAAATTGCATCGGTGCCGCAACGATCACCATCTCCTACTTTTGACAATCCACACAATGAATCTCGTAAAATTCGAGTTATTAAAGAAGCGCACGAAGTTTTTAATCGCACTGTGCACACATCTAAACCCGTAGAAGGTGATACAAATGAAAGACATGCGGTACCTAACAATGACAAAACTGTAAATGAGGTCTCTAAGACTGATGTAAATGGTATCAGTGAAGAAAATGACATATTATTTCGAGAAAAGTTTGATCTTGGTAGTTCAGATGAAGACGACTGGAATAGAAATTTAATTCTTAAATCGAAAGAGCGTGTTTTAAGGGAGATTGCTGAGGAGGAAGCTAAAGTTTTAAGATTAGCTTTGAAAAATGCAGAGGCTAAAACTCAATCTAATGTACATAATGGATTCATTGAATCTAACACAAGGGATAGCGTTCGTAGCATGGAAGAGGAGCGTGTGCAGATGGAAACGGAACCCGTAAAAACTCCGACGCTGCCTTTGCAAACACATGTACAATGTACTGAGGAGGAATTAGATTACGATCCGCGTTTCTCAGATAGTGAAGAGGAAAGAATCCAGGTAGAATGTACTGAACAAATTGTTGACGACTCAACTAGAGAAGTAGTAGAATCAATAACTGAAAAGAGTGATACGAATTTGCCGGAATCCCCAAAGGACAAGGCCGTGACGAAACCTGATGGTACCCCTGTCATTGTACTGGAAGCGACAAGCAAACCTGGGACCTACAAAGCCAAGCAGGGTAAGTTGGTCAATGAGCACATGTACTGTAAAAATGTTACATCAACTGAGGATGCTTCAGAGAATCAACTCGATAAAAGCAAACCAAATGAGGTGTCCGAGGGGATTCAAACAGAAGACTTGCCTGTCACGACGGTTGCAGATGGCGGCGAAAAATCCACCGCGGTTGTTTCGAAGCCAGACACATCTCATTCACACAAAGAGAAACATAAACGCAGCCGAAGTAAATCGTCATCTAGCACAAAACACGCGAAAACATCAAGCACTTCTAGGTCCAAATCAAAATCTGATAAAACATCTTTGCCCAAGTCCAAATCACACACGGATAGCGCATCATCGGCCAGCACGTTTAGTACTTCCAAAAAGAATACCATCGAACAAGCGATAACATCAGCTCATGAAGAGAAAGATAAGACGATTTTAGGTAGGTTACGAGCACGATATCAAAGGTACAAGAAGCACTCGCGGGCTGTCATTTCAAAATTGGAAAACATCGATAGGAAATGAGAAAGTTGCTGGACGAACGTCGCAATATTTACAAAGAGTTTCATGCATTTGTCTCAACTTCCGAGAGCGAAGAAGACATGCCTCATGGCGAAGAGCACGCGAAAAGAAGACTTTCAGAAACTGGTACCTCACAAAACTCACCATCGCAGCACTCCAGTGACAATCCCAGCAAGAAGAAACCCGTGAAGTACATAATAATTTCTGAAGGTGATTCGACGCCTTCGAAGCACTTGAATCCGGTGCTGAATTCCGATACGCCTAATGAGCTAGTTCTAACGCAAGTGCTTCATGATAATCCGGAAGACATTCCGAATCCAGACTCGCCGCCAAACTTCCTCATGCCCTCAATGGATGTGGACATATTCTCGATGTTCTCCGAGCCACAGAACAAGCCACCGTTTAACGAACCCGTAGTTGCTCAAGAGGCAGAAGAAGAGCAATTGGGCGAAGATTCTGACTCAGTGCCCGAAGCTGGAACGACAGAAATGCAAATCGACCTTGGCGGCGTCATGAACATCTCGCAAACAATGCCGACTGATTTTCTGGAACCCAGTGATAATGAATGCATGGGTGAGTCCCCAGTGAAGAACCCGCATGTTAAATTGATTAAATATGATATTGAAGGCTTACAACGTATGAAGAGAGATATATCGCACAAATCTGCAGACTCGTTTCTACCCTTTTGCAATAACAACGTGAAAATTGAGGAGTCCGATGTTGGCACCATGGAAGTCGAGGTCAATAGCGAGTATGGCAATGAGGTGGGTCGTGCGTAATTTCTACAACGTGTTTCATACGCCGTGAGTTTTTGTACGACAGTTACGTATTTTGTACATAAACTAATTTTTTTATTCCCCAACACTTTTTAGAATATTCAATAAATGTTTTTGTTTTCCACAAGTTTTAAATGTTTGATTTCGCGTTCAAAATATCTGTCGTACAAATAGTCGCGTATTGATTTCCGGCGTAGAAATTTGTTGCATACGTTGGAAGATTACAGGTAAATACCGAGGCTTCCGATGGTGTTGTTGACTACATCGGATGGAAGGATTCCATTTTAGTTATTAAGGTGGGTCACATTGCCTATGATGATTGCAAATATCTCAAATGATGTTGATTGCAGATTGTTAAAGATTTGATTGTGGCTGGAAATGATAAAGGAAAACTTTTCCTTTTTGACACGAAGTCGGCGTTTCCAATATTCACCGAGACAATATGTCTCAATGAAGCGATCACTGCGATGGACGTTTATGAAAATGGCAGTAACACTCGACTTTTCATCGGATCTCAGAATCAGAACTTGTATGTGTATGACATCGGGGACAGAAGGTTGTTACGGGTTATTAGCGTGGGCACTCCTATTCAGTGCCTTGAGTTGATGTGGATGAGCCTGTTTATAGGATCTTCGAAAGGCGAACTAATCAGGTTCAGCTTGGCGGTATGTTAATTATTTAAATATAAATACTCTTTTCGAACAATTTGTACGTTTTGTTTAATTTTAGAATGGCAGAATTACGGCTCCAGAGAAAATATCTGAGAGCGCCGTGCTTGCAATCAAAGGGAGCATGGATGGATCTCGTCGCGTGCTCGTGGTGGCGTTGCGCAATGCTCCAATTAGTATACGTGATGCGTCTTCTTGTCTTGAATTGCGTACAATCGGGGAAGACCTCTATTCCGTGTATTCAATTGTGCTTTTCCACAATCGAGTATATTGTGGTACTAGTCATGACGATGTTTTAGTTTATAATTTTCACGTGAGTTCCTATGAAATTTGTCTGATGTTGTTGGATCTGAAATGTTTTGATTTAGGATGGTCAGCTTTTGCTCAAACACGGCGAGAGCAGAGGCAGTGGAATTGTCAATATGATAATCGTGCGAAATGTGCTTTTCGTAGCCTGCTACAATGGTAAAATTTGCATCTACAACACGACTGATAATTCGTTTATTACCTCGATGACAGCACCATCCGGGCTATTATTGAGCATGGCCATCGTTAACAAAAAAGTAAATATTCTATAGCTCGGGCGCATGTGAAGTTATTAACCATTTGTTTATTTTCTAGCTGATTGCAGGAACCAAACAAAATTTCCAATGTATGCCACTGCCCGAATCAGTTGCGAGTTTGCTCTGAGAGGTGGGCCGCCGGCGTATTACTTTCGACTGCAAACAAAAGTATTTTCTAGTTTTACATTAAGTAGACTTTTCAAAATGTCTAGGGCGCTCCTGACAAATGTGCCTTAAGAATGAGAATTATATTTCTTTTTTTCCTTGTTACCACAGCGGTTGGTATGATAATTTGTAATTATTTACGCTCTACCGATTTGGGTTTTTGTTTCTCACTGCACAGAATTCGTTTCTTTGTTGATTGTAAATAAAAGAATTGTTTAATGAAAATCGAATTTAAGATGCGTATATGTGTACTTTGTTTTAAATGAATGCACGTGCGATACAATGTGGAACGGCACGGCATGTTCTCATTATCAAGTTGTTTCTTATTTTTGTAATAAAAAGACACTCACAAAATCACAAAAAACGTATCACTCCTCATTTTAATATTCCCAGGGCCTTTAGTTTTGTAATTACCGTTTGAAAACACTCTGTATCTTTCTAATGAGGAGTTCATAGCTTCAAAATGTTTAAAAATTGTCGTGGAAGGCACTTTTTTACAACTTTGATACCTTTCTGATTCATGGGTTCCTGAAATTAGATAAGATTCGCAAATAGTAGCAGTGTTATGGGTTCAGGGGTCTTTCATGTAAGTAATACCCGCGCCCGATGTCGCTTAACTTCGGTGATCGCAGGAAAGCCATGCTGTTCGAACTAGTCTTGCTATTTAAAAGGAAGGCTATAAATGATCGGAAGGGATACATGTAAAATAAACAATGCATAAATATTATAAAGGGATTCCGGCACACGAAAAGCATCTTCAACAACTTGCTAAGAAATTTCTTTCAACGTACAATATAAAAACGATTAAGCATATGCGTATAAGAGATAATTTGATAAAAGAGATAATAATTAAAGGCCTTGAGTTTTTGAGTTATTCTATGACATGAGATGTATTTATTAAATTGTTTTGTAATTTATATGGATTTTTACAATTTTGTATGAGTTTTACATGTTTCGCCCTGTGGGCATCGTCAGAAACTGATTTAAAATTTTTGTGTTTTAGGGTGTTCTGAGTGTCAAGTGTTTTTGTGTTGTGTTAATGAGTGTTATCGTGGGTTGTAGGTATGTGGAGTTTTTTGAGGGGTTTGAAGATAGTGTCGTGTATTGAGTTTATTTGTTCGTTTAAGAGTGTGTGTTTGATTTTGTGCTTGTAAATTTGAATATTTTCTTTTATGTTTAGGTATTTGTCATTAGAGGTTTTTAATATGGTTAGTATGTTTTCTATTGTGTTGTGTTGGTGGCTGTGTTTTAAGATGTGTTTTGCGTAGTGTGAGTGGTATGTGTGTGGATTTTTTATTGCGTTGGTGTGTTCGTTATATCTTATTAGCATGTTTCTATTTGTTTTTCCTATGTATATTTCTTGACAAGTGTGGCATGTGAGTTTGTATATTCCACTATTTTTGTATGTGTTTGTACTATGTATTTGTTGTGTGTGTTTGTAGTTTGTTGATGAGTTTTTGTTTGGTTTTGTATGCTATTTTGTGGTTTTTAAATATATTTGATATGTTATATGTGTCTGTGTCTATGTAGTGGAATGTGTGGAATTTATTGGGTGTGTTTGTGTTGTTAATTGTTATGTTTGTGTTGTTTTTTGTTGTTGATTTGTTGTGTTTTTGTTTTTTGATTTTGTTGTAAATTTTGTTTATGTGTGTTTGTGTGTATCCATTTTCTATTCCTATTTTTATTATTTTATTGTATTCATTGTTGTAATTTGTATTGTCTAAAGGTGTGTTTATTAATCGGTTGAAGCTAAATCTGAAGTATGCGTTTTTGTGTTGTTGTGGATGATGTGATGTAGCGTGAATTATGTTGTTAGTGTCTGTAGGTTTTCTGTAAATGTTAAAGTTGAACACTGTTCATATAAATCACAAAACAATTTAATAAATACATCTTATAAACATGGACTACGTATTCAAATTAGAAAATAATAAAATATAATATAATATCCTATGACAGTAAACATGCCCCAGCTTTCAAAGGGTACAAAATAAATTATACATAAAATAATTATGTGTGTAAGAGAAGCACGTTCAAACTCCGAGCTTTGAACACGCGTCTGCGCATACCGTAGTCCGACCTACGTTGTTAGCTCGGTTTTGTTTCCCGACGCGCCATTCGTGTTATGGTACTGTGCGTGGTACTGAGTTAGGTGTGCAGTGGCGTGGTTATGTTTGCCTCGGTATTTCTCTTAATTCGACACAACTTGATATGAAATAAGCGTTGTGTTTCATTGTTTAACATTAACTTGAATTTATCGATTAGATATTACTAATTTAGTAATTCAAAATGTCCAACAACGACGGACCGGCTTTCAATGACACTATTTTGCGGATTGTAAATAATTACAAAAAGGGCTCCGTTCGCGAGCGTATATTTGATTACAATACGCCGAAAAAACGATCATCAAGCCCCACATCCAGCACTAGCTCAAGCGAAATCAACTCGGCAGTGAAGAAGTTTAAAGCAGACAATCAGATTGTATGTGCGGGCTCACCACGCGAGTTTCGTCGCCTTAAATGTGAACTTATTGAAAGTCGCAACTATGCAAAAGAATTGGAGAATCAGCTTACACATTTGCGTGCAATAAAACGCGAAGAGCAAATTGATTTCGAGCGTGAGACTAAACGATGGAAGGCACAGGCTGAAAGGGATAGAAAAACTATTGGAGAACTAGAAACTAAGCTCGATGACTTCAGAAGGAGAGAACTAGCTTGCAAGACTGAATTAAATGAAGTAGGTTTAAATCTACTGTTGAAATATATGTGATGTATTTTATATTTTTATTATTTTGTAGGCTAAAGCACAATTTGCTAGGACTAAGGCAAGTATGGAAATGAAACTTCATACATTGGATGTACAATTCACCAACTTGAAAGAAGAAGTGCATGATCAAAGCACTGATGAAAACACCAAGATAATTCAGTTGGACAGGCAGAATGAGGAACTGCAAATCATGTACAAAGCAGCAAAAGAAGATACTGAAGCACATAAAAAGTTTGTTGATGAATTAACATTAAAGTTAAAAGCCAAAACCAACTGTGAAAATGAATTAGAAATCAAAACCCAGGCTTTGAACAAAGCTTTACAACAAATACAGAAGATGGAGTTCAACAAGGAGTCATATTTGGAATATCAGCAGCAAGCTAAGGTATGTTTTAAACAGTTGCTCAGATTTTAGTTTGATCATTATTGCACCTATTGTTTTAGAATCAACAACAGAAACTCACAAACTACGAATCATTAGAGCGCGAAAATGCGCAACTTCGAGAAGAAAACTCCAGTCTTAAACAAGATGTTCATCATAAACTGCTCCTAGAAGAAGAAGTACATGACATCAAAGGTCGCCTACTGAAATATAAAGAATTAGATAAAACATTGAATACTCTGATGGTGTCAAACGCTCAGAACGAAATGCACCTTGAAGAGTTCCGGACGTTGGCTAGAAGCATCTGCGAAACGTCCAATTCTGATACAACGCTTCCACGACTGCTGAGAACCGCTGTGGAACGTCTTCAGCATCAAGAAATCACACTGACTTCTGATAAAATTCAATTGATTCTGCTCTGTCGACCGCCATGCATGAGGCCAAGGTGGCGAAAGACGAATTAGACAAATGTCGTTCTCACATTTTGACTTTGGATAAAGATACAAAGCAAGCCAAGGCTCAAATGATTCGAATGCAAAGAAAGCTGCAACTTGTAACCGGTGAACGCGACAGTTATCGAAAACAGTTGGATTCGTACGAAAAGGATTTGACAATTTGTATTAATCCAGCGAGTTTAGCAAATCCAGGCGCAGCGCAGATTGAAAGTCAATTTGAACGAATTAAAAATCTCGAGCGCACTGTTGATGAGTATCGCGATATGGTACATAAACTGGAGAGTGATCTGAAAAGCGTTGAGGGATATTCTACGGATAATATTCCTATTCGCGCTGAGAAACTGGCACGATTGCAGAGCGAAGTTGCCAAATTGAAAGCCGACAATGATTTATTGCGTCAACGCAAAGATAAGTTAGAGATACAGTTGGAGGGATTTCTAGTTGGAGAAGATGTGGCCTATGGTCGAATTGTACACAACAGCAACAATCCTTTGTCGAACATTATAAAACAACGTGAGCAAGAAAAGCAGCGTCTTGAAGAAGATGTAATTAGCTTAAAGCGCAAAATCAAAAAAATGGAAGACGGTCTAGAAGCATCTCGTCTGGGCGATATCACCATCGATCATCGAGAGGTGCAAAACTTGAAGGAGAAGCTTGCCGCAGCTGAGAACAACGTGGTGCGATTAAAGGAGTACTTCAAGAAGGCAGTGCAGGACATGCGTGATGTCACGTACTTGTTATTCGGATACAAAGTTGACATGAATCAATCACAATACACGATTACCAGCATGTACGCTGAGAAGACAGAGGACGTGCTCAGTTTTCATCTAAGCAAAGAAGGTGCTTTCAACTTAATGGAGAATGAGTACAGTTCCAGTCTGGAAGAGATGGTAGATCTGCATTTGCGACAACAACGATCAATTCCGGTGTTTCTAAGTTCATTGACTTTGGATTTATATAATACGCAGACTATGACAAAAGCATACGATATTCAGGAGGACGATGACGTCGAAGACGATGAGGATGAAGAGGAAGAAGAGGAGGACGATGACGTAGAAGATGATAACACTGAGGAGGAAGATTAGAGGAAGTATTTAGTTTATATTCATGTAAAGTTCTATGTTTAATAAAATTATGTCTTATACGATCATGTTTAATCATTTAATCCCTTTAAAATTGTCAGTTTTATAAAAATTTGTAAACATGATGTGGAAAACATCCTGTATCTCGTAAACTACTTGACTTTATCAAAGTTTCTCACTGCTATGTCAGAGTTGGAGAGTCCTTCTACACGACGCATATCTTTTCAACTTCCTAACACTTTCGAAAGTACGCTAAAATGCCCTTTAATAATAAGCATTTCTCCAAAAATTTTAAAACATTGTGTGGAAAACACCCTGTATCTCATAAATTAATTGACTTTATCAAAGTTTCTTACTGCTATGTCAGAGTTAGAGAGTTCCACTACGTGATGATCATCTTTTCAACTTCCTAGCCCTTTTGCAAGTGCCCTAAAATACCCTTTAAAAATAAGCATTTTTCAAAAAAATTAAAAACATGGTGTGGAAAACACCCTTTATCTCTTGAACTAATTGACTTATTTGATGTGTCTCACTGCTATTTCCGAGTTGGAGAGTCCTTCTATACGACGCATATTTTTTCAACTCTCTAACCCTTTTACAAGTGCCCTAAAATACCCCTCAAAAGTTGGCAATTTTGTGAAAATTTGAAAACATGATGTGGAAATCGACCTGTTTCTCGTGAACTAATTGATTTTTTTAAAGTTTCTCAACGTCATGTTAAAGTTCGAGAGTCCCTCTACACTATGCATACCTTTTTAACTTCATTAACCCTGTAGAAGTGTCCTAAAATACCCTTAGAATATCGCTGTTTTGTCCAATGAATTTTATTTTCGCTCGAACAACAGGGCCGAACTTTTTTGGTTAAAATATTTTCGGTCGAAAGACAGGGTCGAACTTTTTTGTTAAATTATTTTCGGTCGAACAACAGGGTCGAACTTTTTTGATTAAATTATTTCAGGTCAAAACATCGATGAAAAGATTTTGTCATAAAAAAGTCAAATCTTTTCTCTTTTTTATGTCCGAAATTAAAAGTTGGAATTTTCAACTTTTGTTTTCAGAATCTAAACAAACGATTAATTCTTATCAATATATCCAAGTAAGATTTCAAGTGATCTCTCTTGGTTTAGGCCCTACGATGAATTTAATTATTTCATTTATGGTAGATTTATGCAGTTTAAATTTAGCGTATATTTTTTTAATCTCAATTCAAATTACAAATATTTATTAAAATATTTTATCAATAAAGATGTTTTCTTTGATAATAAGCAATAAAAAGTATACATTTTTAATTTTCTAAAAAAATTTAATTAATTATTCAAAATTTGGCGGAGGTGCCTGACATTTTAATTAGTGTAAAAATTATTAAAACTAATAATACCATCGTGTAGAACAATCTATAGTTACGTTATTTACACAACTTCCTGATTAATAGCGCAAAGGGTTTGCCCTACAAACGCATTTACTTGAAACATGTACTTGCCGCAATACTTAAAAACTAATTATCTCGGGAACTAATGAAGATAATCAAAAACAGAAAACGGGATAACGTTCAGCATGCAATTATACATAAGATGAGATTAAAAACAAATATTTTTCGAAGTCGGAAAAATGATTTTCCGATGCGATTTTCTCGAGAACCATAAATGTTACAACGAAACTTTTTACATTTTTTTCATGTCATAACAAGGTTCTACAAAAGGGCAGATTCAATTTTTTGATTCTATAAAGTTGACAAAAACCTGTTGAAAAGAGTCAAGAGGTTACACTTACCTACTTTTTGGTCTAAAAATTCAAAATGGAGCTAGTAGAAAATGGAAAACGTTAATTGATTTCCAAGGGGATAAAAGATATGAAGTTAGTTTTCCGATAACATCAATATTTTGGAAAATGGCGGGTAAATTCAAAATTGATCAAATAAATCTACCTCACCAATTTTCCTCAAACTTTCCAAATCAATGTAAAAGAATGCCAGGAATCCATTAATCCAAGTTTGGTTCCGCTATCTTAATTAGTTTGTAAGTTATTGACCATTTTTAATTATTACATAAGTGTTGATAACTGTGAATTTTAACATGTTATATAATGTAAAATTTAATTCTACATACGAATATGAAGCCCGTTTTTCTTTATCTCTAATGGTTTTCAAGATAAGTGCGAAAAACCGGTTTATTAGTTTTCTCTATCATTTCCTAAGCAAAAAATAAAAATTGAAAACTACAACTTTTTATTACCAAATATTGAAGAACATGTGATTCTACATACTTTATCTTAATAAAATTTTGTTCTAAAATAAAGCTTTTTGATAATAATAGCCCTAGCAAAGTCTGGTTTGTCGGTATTCAAATTACATACATTTTTGTTTTAAAATTACAAATACGGCCTAAATGGTAAATGCTGGCCAAAAAAGTTACTAAAATAATCGATATAAAATTAAATTGTCTATCAGAAACTGAAAACAAAATTTAAAAATTCCAACTTTTAATTTCAAACATAAAAAAGAGAAATCTTTTGGCTTTTTTATAACAAAATCTTTTCATTAAATTTTTTTATGCATTTTTTGTAGTTTTTTAAGAAGGGCGCTATCTTGTAGAGATTTTTTTAAGGATTACGAATATGAAGTCCTTTTTCCGTAGCCCTTTTAGTTCTCGAGGTAATCGCGATTTTATCTCGCCGATTTCACGGGAAAAATTAAAGATAAAAGTTCGACCCTGTTGTTCGACCAAAACATTTTTAAGAAAATAAGTTCGACCCCGTTCTTCGACCAAAAAATATTTTAACAAAAAAGTTCGACCCTGTTGTTCAGCCGAAAATATTTTATGAAAGTAAGTTCGACCCTGTTCTTCGATCAAAAATATTTTTAGGAAAATAAGTTCAACCCTGTTCTTCGACCGAAAAAAGTTTGACTCTGTTATTCAACCAAAAATGAAACTCGACGAAATTTGTTTTTCAAATCAGTTTCTATCAAATTTGAACAAACAACCGTCACAAGGGTTGAAATTTTTACATATTATCAATTTTTACACTTCTAAAAACATGAGCCGAATGAAAACGAATGAAAACAAATGCTTTCGTGAGCGCGTTTGCGTTGAAAGTCGAATTGCGCAACAATTCGACGAACGATGGGGCTGGCTAGTCGAAGAATACGCAAAAGGGCGCAGTGAGTTGAAGCAGGCATATGACTTCGAGAAAGACGTAAACCCCCAGCCCAAAACAGAACTGAAACCATTTCCAGCCACCAGCTCTAGAATGGTTGGGTGGTTATCAGTGAGACCGGAATGTCAGCTTGAGGTGTTCGGCCCCGACTTACCCAAAGCTCGTCGGCTGCCCGTTATCTACACCGTCACAAAACTGACTGATCCTGTGTCGGACGGTTTGTAATACTGAAAATAAATTCTCTTCTTTCCACTGCTTAATAAACATTTCAACATTTTCTTTTGAAAAAAAATAATAATGCCTGTCATATAGATACTTAGGATAGTTTATTGTAACTCTAAATATAAGTAGGCGAATTATTAAGACTACTGCTACACATACTGCATATTTTCTGTCCCTTGCCATTGACATAGGTGCATTTTTCGCACTGGGTACCTCCAACCTGAAGATGCTCCTCCATTGGTTTCTTACGACTCTTCGAACACATGGCGCAAATATCTTTCTCGTTCTGATTAAGAAACGTGCAGGTCGTACAATGCCAACCCTTGGAAGTAGCTGGTTGACTTGTACTTGCAGATGGCGCTACTGCTAACTCTGCATGTCCATTGTTTTGCCTCGATTGAGCAGGCTGAGTGTTAGATGATGGCGTAGGAGCTACCGGTACCACCGGCTCAACTGATGTTTTCGCCTTGACGGGCTTATCGCTCACGTTGTCATATGTGCTATGTCTATTTTCACGTTTTTCTCGTTTACTCTCATCAGCATGTTTAGACTTTGGCCTGGCATGTGCTGTGTTTTGACTTTGAGTAAATCCCGCGTTCCCAAGATCTTTTGAATAACCTTGACTCTCTAGGTTGCGATAAACATAATCCCATGATTCATAGGTGCCTGAACCATCATCGCGTTCCGATGCGGACTTTGCCGTTGGGGCATCGTTCAAATACATCTGTCCGAGATGTTTCTGCACTTCATCCACTCGACCATCTGGCTGATCGAAGCCATCGTATTCAATCAGACGTGCAGTAGGCACAGCGGGAGCGTTGACCGTAGCATGAGAGCAGCCGCTGCCGGCAGGGTGATGCATGTGCGACATTTGCGGTTGGCTGGGATAATAGTAACCGGGATATGGCGCGTTGTGCATGTAAAAATTGCCGCAACAGGTGTGAGGCGGCATCATCGTCGATGGGCCGTACATATATTGCGGCTGTGGTGGCGGCGGAGGCTGAGTATAATACGAATGCATTGCCTTTGGACTTGGTAGCTTCTTCATATGCATCACACCGTCGATGGTTTCCTGTGGACTGCCAGCGTACATCTCGCGCATATTCAACACATCCAGCCAAGTGACATTGTACACTTGTGAAACTTCTTCCCAAATTTCTTTCAGAATCTGACATTCCACATAAGCCATGATTGAATCTAAAGAAACAGACGCCAAGCGATCCGGACACACGGGGCCGGTTAATATAAGCTGTTGATTATCCATTGGTTTATAGCCCATTTCAACAAACATTGCATCTGCCCCAACTAAATTTGACTCTACTTCATGTTTATAGAAACCAGAATACATCTAAAAATTTATATTTAAATTAGGATTGTTTATAAATAAAAATAAAATGTGCAAATACCTTTATTTGTCTGTATTCTTTCCTCCATGGTTTTGTAAGTAAATTTGCAGCATATCTACCAATTGCATCCCACCCTAATGCAGCCTTATAACCACTAAAATCAGTCATCCTAGCAGCTGACTCATGGAGCACTTTGGGTGTAGATGTGCACTCAAATTTCTGATTGTGATGAGCCTCACAAAGATAACGATGGATGTACTCCTCCAGCTTGCTTTTGTGTTTGATTTTCTCTGGACTTGCTTCCATTTCCAGGTAGCTCAAGTGCAGAGAGTTGATTTTACTCCACAACATCCCTGGGGAATACTGCTGCCTCTGGGTGTTGTTGTAATAAGTATCCATTACCATCATAAATTCGATGAAGATAGAACGTGCGATCGGCGATGCACGTCCACATTAAAACTATCTGTGGACTGTGAATGAAGCACCCAGAAGGAATTTATTTTTAGCTTACAGCTATGAACTAAAAATTATGTTTCACAATTGTGAAGAAAATAAAGGAAAACGCCATTTGAGGGTTAGTTTATGGCATTATGGATTAGTTGTAAAAACTTGCATCTAAAAGGGAACAACATTAGAGGACGGATGAGATAAAATTACTTCTCACCTTGCTCCAAGCTGCTATTGTATCTCAGAACCGAATTGTTTTTATTTTTAATGCGGAATACGTCACTAGTGTCACTAGTGTCATATGATTGTCAGTGTCAGAATCTGGGGGAAAATACAGGCAAAACAACAGTAGTACTTAAAAGTAATTTGCTGTTTTGAAAATTAAATATTTAATTAAATATATTATTTAAACTAGAATTTTATTTAAAATATACTAAATTTAAAATACTGTACTTATATACTCTCATTGTTTTTATTTATTACAAATAATTATATAGACAAAATCATTCTGTATAATATTTGGCTTCAATGCTAGTAACCAAATATAAAAAATATCCCTAAAGCTCTCGATTATTACTAACACTGTCTCATCAGTTACCTAACACACATTTCTAGCCGTTGTGGTCGCAGATTATTTCTTAACATCTCTCAAAAACCGCCTTAACATGGCTTTCCGTTCGTTAATGGCAATCCAGCGCCGCTCAATGAGCCAGAATATTACACCATTGAAGAAAATGATGTACAACTTGGCCGGTTTCAACAAATTGGGGCTCATGCGCGACGATTGCCTCTACGAGGACGAAGACGTGAAGAAGGCCCTCCTGCGCGTTCCAAAGCATATTATTGACGAGCGCAACTATCGTATCCTGCGCGCCGTTCAGCTTGACATCCAAAAAGACATTTTGCCCAAGGAGCAATGGACCAAACTTGAAGATGATGTTCTGTACCTAACCCCTCATGTGGATCAGGTAATCAAGGAACGTGAAGAACAGGAAGATTGGAACAAAAAATACTAAACAAAGTAATCTTAGCCAACTAGCAAAAGAAATTACACTCTGTAGTGTCCATTATGTAAATCTAACTTAAACCTATGAAATAAAATGTGATTTAATTATGGTTTTCAGTGTTTTATTGTATGTAAGATTACTTAATAGTATAAATAAGAATAAGTGAAGTGTGTATAAGGCACATGCTTTTGTGTAAGTTGGTGATGAGATTAGTTTTCTTCTTCTTCGATTTTCGGCGCCAAATAATAGCGAATGTAACCCAATTCAGGGACGGTGTATTCCACCACAAGTGGAACATCAGCAGACATTGAGAGTTGCACCTGCGCGGAAAGAGGTGTCGCTTTCGTGAAGGAGTTCAAGTACTGACACGCAAACGTTAACGAAACTGGGTCCTGCATTTCAATGGTAACAGATTCTTCTTCCTTCTCAAAGTTGCTGGTTTGAGCAAGTTTAACATTGGCACTGCCAATGTCACCACTAGATGAGAACTTGACACCTTCCTTTGTGCATGAAATCACAATTGATTCACCGAATTGCGCCAGATCGCGACAAATGCGCGCAAATTCAACGGACGGCATGCGAATCACACAGGAGAAATCAGTCTCAGGAATACCCAAGTGTTCCTGGTCCAAGTTCATCAGTTTCATCTCATAATCTGAGATTTTGTCTTGTTTCTTTGACTCAAACATGAAGGTGACCATATCTGCATCATCCTGTGCCTTAATTGTAACTGTGTCGTCGTTGTTTGCACATTTGAGAATTTTGACCATACTGTTTAAAGAACAATTTAAAAACGTTAGGAAAAACGATTAATTATTCTGTGGAAAGAAATACCTTGAAAGATTCATGCCCATTGTAATGTTCCTATCGCAGCGGTATTTATCGAAGCCATCGGATTTAAGGGTGAGCGAAACGAGAGAAACGTGCGAGTTGTCCATGGCTTGAAGTTGGATGCCGGTATCGGAGCAGTCGAAAGATGCATCGTTCAGCAAGTCTTTGATGGCTTCGAGGACCTTCTTCAGTGTAACACTATTAATCAGACGTGCTTCAAACATTTTGAGTGATTTAAATTATTTAAACACAACAGACAATCACGAGAATCACAACAGAAACGTTGTACGCAGCACGAACGTTAACAGTAAAATGGCGCAAAATCGAAAAGTTGAGCGGTTAAGCAAAAGGCCGCGCAGAAACGGCGGGAAATTCTAGGGACATTTGGTTCTTGTAGCCATTTCGTTGCAAAAGTAAGAAGAATTAATTCAAATACATTACTTAAAACTAATAACATCTATCTTATCCTCCCGAGGAATAAAATATGTACGTATAACAATAATAATATAATTACTAATGTGTAATTTGTGTTGCCCACGTTAAACATTGAATCTTTTAGGTTTTGGTTTTGATTTCACAATTTTAAAGTAACGAAGATTTGGCTCTTGAAATTCTAGCTGTAGTCCGTTGATTCGGACTACTTAAACGCTTAATAATCTCTTCTTCTAAATCAGGAAACGTCTGCTGACTTTCAAATACAACTCGTTGTAAACCGCCAAATTTCAAATGTGTCTTTTGATAATTGATCTTCTCAATAAGATCCTCCAAAACATTTCTTGTAATGCCATTATCTGCAATAATTATGAGATAAATTTTCAAAAATTTACTCTGTACAGTAATTTAAAACTCACATGCAATGTTAAGATACGTCAGAGAATTATTTCCGCTACAAAATAATTGGCCATCCTTCACGAGTGAATCAGTAATAAATGGATGATTGAATTGATTCGCAGCATTTACAGGATCATGCGAAATAAATCCGAATTTATCCGGTGATACTGATGACGACTTAAATGCTTCAGTTTTAGACGAAGGAAAATGTGTCTGCATTAATTGTTTGAAACGCAATTTTCTCTTTTGAAATGTTTCATGAAGATGCAGTTTGAAACAAGAGAATACTTCCAGTAAACCAAGTAGTCCTGTTTCTGAAATACCATTTTCGGAAATATTTAACGCCTGTAGGGCTCGATTCGTACGCAAAATTTGTGCTATCCAGGCGCATCCAACGTCGCCCAAATGATTGCACCCCAGATTAAGACTCACCAAATTTCGTGTGTATTTATCAGGAATGTGCAACTCGTTATAGAACAGTTGGCAGACAGATGGTCCCAACTTACATAATTGTACGCTGTACACTTTCAAATTCGTGCTGCGATGAAGTAAGTGGTGAGATTTTTTACCGAATTCATTTCTATTTGGATTCCCGTTCAAAGATAAACGAACAATTTGATGGTTTTCTTGAAGAATCATATGAATGAAAACCACTTGATCGTAGCTGAGATCACAGAATTCAAAACGCAGTTCAGTGAGATAAGGAAAAGTTGGTAGGAGCTGTTGAAGAGTGAGAAGTCCTTCATCTTCTAACGAATTTAATTTGTATTTTATTGCTCGAGGACTACCTTCATTTGTAAAGGTAAAATGGACTTGAGTTTGATTTGGTGCGACTGGAAAATCTGGTTGATAACGTTCACCCTGGCAACGAAATTTGAATTACGTTTGGTAAAATCATTATAGTAATTTGTCATGGTCAATTTCACTTTATTAAGTAATTTAAATAAGCTTATGATCTGTTTTGTAAATGAATAATTTCATCATTTATGTGTATTTATGCAAATTATTATAAATTTGTTTGCTTTGTAACTATTATAAAAGCGCGGAACACTCAGAATCCATGCTTTTATTTGTTATATCATAACATTTTAACATTTTGCTAAACTAATGAAGTCTGCAGTTGTTATTTTTTGTCTTGTTGTCCTAGTAAGTCATAACAATTGATAGTAATTAATATATATTGGGCTGCAAAAACAGTAAATGTAAATGTTATGTTGTTCTTCCTTTATAGATCATTGGGAATGATTCCCTGGTTAAAGCATCCGAATATGTGGAATGTTCGAAGAAAGAATGGAAGAGTTTATTCGCCGGTATTTCATACATAAATAATATGCGTGATTGCTTGGAACATATGACCGATATACAAGATATTCTGGATACACTTGAAAACTAGAGGAAGAGGTTCATCAATACAATGCTTTCTTCGAAAAAGAGCATGATGATGAAGCAAAGTACGATCGACTTAATCAATATGGCGCACAAGTTAACAACACTAACTTTGATATCAAATCAATGGTTGCTGAATTGGATAATTCCGAGGTAAACAAATGTTTTGAACTGGAAGTGAAGAAAGCTGATAATGGAATTGGTAAAGCTCGTCATTGCAAAGATTGATAAAATTAGTAACTTAATAATTGCATAATTAAACGTAGGTTTAACTTGAGATTAGTAAATTTGGTGGATTTGAAAATTTTATAAATAAAATCAAAAGTACCTATATAACTCTTGTTTGCTTTTTTTCAAAGAAGTTAGATGACCCAATATACACATGTTTACTGTTTACATGGCCGGGCGTCCAACCCGTGCTCCATAAGTTCACACCGCAGAATAAAAAACATGAATCTCTATTAATACCACAAATGCTCTACCTCAAATCAACAATGATGTAAAAGACGTCCCGCACCTACCTCCAACACAATTCACTTCATTTACCACACAAAAGGTAACTACATTACAAACTAAACTTACATCAATAAATATCTTGGGAAGTTGAGCAGCATTCTCTTCTAAAGCCGTTTTAAACCAGTTCATGCATTGAATAACATACTGATTGTTGCTTAGATGTTTCTTTTTCCGATGTATGCTTGTTGTTGATTTTGCAGTCATGTTTCAGTGGTATTACCACTAATATGAGAGGTGTGTTCTATATGTTACAGAAGACTGAAATTATCAAACACAAGACTTGATTGAAAAAGGAAAACCTTTCAAATCACAATGTGGTATGTCATAGTGACGTGCCGTACGTTATCATGGACTCTCACCAGCCTCCTATCAAGCATGATAATGCTAAGTGCATTGCTTAGTCCACAATGGCTGCTTGGAAAGGGTGAAAATTCAATTGGTGTTTACACAAGATGCATGGAAAAGCAGCGCACGAATATGTTACAATGCACGACACTAGCAACACGCGGTTTGGCAACTGATGCAGAAGTATTTCCAACTGAATGGAAAATTGCGACTGTTTTCATATCAATTGGTAGGTAATTTTTACATTACTGTAATTAATATTCTAAATATTTAATAATATTTTAGGTTTGACAATCATGTTTGTTTCGGTAGTCATGAGTTTTGCAGCTTGTTGCTTCCAAAGCATTTTTAAAAAGTCCTTGTTTACCACCACTGGTGCAGCACAGACCATCGCGGGAATCTTTTACATTTTAGCTCTCACTCTGCATCCTATGGCTTGGAATGCAACCAGAGTTGTAAAACTCTGTGATAATTCATCACCTTTTTATCCTGGCCATTGCGCGATCGGTTTAGGTTTGTGGTTGGCTCTAGCAGGAACAGGTTTGACTTTCCTCGCAGCAATGCTCTCTATGCCGGCGGACAAATCCACCAACAGCGATAAAGTCCAGGATCGCATCTATGAAGGTCACAGCTTAATTTGTTTGCTATAAACTCACAAAACTGGTACGCATTTGAGCATCAACATAATAATTTATTCATATAAGTTAGTTTATCAGATCAATTTACTTCTTCTGCCATATGAGACATTTGTTATTACTGGGCAAATCGCATTTATCAATCAAAATCAATCCGTTTGTTGCGGCCAGTTTTTCCAAATCGGAAATATCGCGTAATCCCCAGTCAGGGTTTCTCGACTTTAAACTTTCATCGAAATCCACGTTGCTTTCCGGTTTGATAATTCCATTTTCGGCGTACGGGCCGTACATAGCCATCAAACCCTTGGGATATAATAATTTACCCGCAGCGCGAAACAGTCCAAGAGTACATGCCCACTCGGAAATATGAATCATATTAATATTAATGATATAATCATACTTTTACACGCCAATGGCCATGTAGCAACATCAGCGGTTACATTGATCAACGCCGGCGGTTTTACGTTCTTCTTCGGCAAGTCATCAGCATAAGCTTGAATACTTTTAAACAAAGCATCTTCGAATTCCGACGGGTGAAAAACTAGATTAGGAAACGCTTTGGCAAAGTAGGCGGCGTGTTGTCCTGTACCGGATGCTATCTCCAAAACGTCGCCGGGACGAGAAGAGTCGAAATGTTTTTTGAGGACGTCCAGAATGTAGATCTTATTGCGCTCGGCTGAAGGGTAATTGATTTTTTCACTGTTTCAACAAAAATAATAACAATAGTCATATTTCTAAAGATAGAAAGCAAAAATATATGAAATTACCTCATTTTTGATAAATGGCGTAAACCGAATCTCAAGAAATGTCGCATTCTGAAACAAATAGACTTGCAAGTGCCAAAAATAAGTGACTTATAAAACTAAACAACTCGTAACTGTATTCCATATGTATACTCTTCATTTATACGTGTTTATATTTGATAATAACATAAATTAGATATTAAAATATCTAAAATGTCATGAGTACTTAGTACGACTAAAGCGCCATGAATTAAAAGCAGCGCAGGGCATGAAAAATTGATTTTTATTGTGAAATTTTGCATATTTGCCATTTTTCAAGTACCTACGCTGTTATTATAGTATAAACTATGCTTTATCAAATATTTTGTGTTAAGTTAAGGTGCTAAATCAGTAATCTCACTGCCATTCATCATTTATAATAATGATTTTTATATCTGTACACATTTATACACAATTTTGTACGTTTTATATTGTGATTGATACATATTATATCTATGTGTCTTCAATTTTAGTTTAACTTACAGCCGTCGTTCTCCTTTGACTTCGTAAACTCATTTTTAATCACTATCGTCAACACGTTTCTTTGCGTTTGCTCTTTTTCGTCTTCCCCTTGTCTTTTATCATCTCTTTCATCTTTGTTTTGTCTTCAGGTGCTATGTACACGCCATGTCCTGTCTTTTTCAAGTGGTCAAATAGTTTATTCTTTGATGTGAATACATTTTTGCATGTTACACATGTGTGTTCAATATCAATTGCATTTCCTTTGTTTATTTCTAGGTCTATAGATGGAGTTGGTTTAGATTTTTTGTCTTTTCGTCGTTTGGATCTCTTTGATGCTGCTTTTCCGTTTGTAATCTCACTGGTATCATCGTCCGCATCACCATCTGGTCCTTCTGCAGTAGGATTTTCTTCTAAATTTGGTTGTGTTTCTATTTTGGATGATTCTACTTCTGTATGATTGGTTTTTCGTTTTGTTTTTCTTGCAGTTTCTAAGTCAGACAAGTCTACAGATTCATCATCGGAATTGATTTGAATTGTTCTAATTTGTTTGCTCTTTTTATTCTTCTTTTTCTTGGTTTTTATTACTTCCTCTTCTAATTCTTCAAGTTCTTCACTATTTAAATCAGAAAGATTCCCATTGGATAAATTTCCATTAGTAACACCATCGCTTTTCACTGCTGCATGTTCTGAATTATCACTTTTTAATTCAGCATCCATGAGGCTTCCATCATTGGATAAATCTTCTTCATCATCTATAGTCTCAAACTCTTCATCTTCTTCCAACATTTCTTCTCTGAGTCTCTCAATATTTTCCTTGTGTTTCTTACTGCTTTCATGATTGGCAAAGGCTTTAGGTGTTTTGAATACTTTATTACAAGCCACACAGTACAAATCATCCAACTCTTCTTCACTTTCATCTTTATCATCAAACTCCTCAGCTAATTGCTTCTCAATATTTGCTAGTTCCTCTTGAACATTGTCAAATTTACTCCATTCACCTTGCACTTCTTTTTTACTCTCTGCTCTTCTTTCTCTCCTTGCTTGTGATGCTTGTTCTGCAGCTTTCAATTTATTTTCTTTTGCTTTTTGCTCTAGAAATTTCACATTTGCTTGAACTCTCTTATCTCTTTTTCTTACAAATGCAACTAAATTACGCACTTCGTCATTGCGTTCCTTCTTCGCTTTCGCCCGCACCTTTTTATTTTCTTTTTCGATGAGTTTAATAATGCGGCGTTCTCTTGTTTCTTTAATATCATATGGATCCAGCCATACATAACTCCTTTTTGTACTGTATGACATCCAATAAGCATAGAAAGGTCTAACAAACATTTCATAATCACTCTCTGCACTACCAAACATAGGAATAGTAGTAAATTCCTCTTTGTTATCCATATGCTCCATGTCTTCTTTAGCAATCTGTTCAAACACATTTCTATAAACTGTATAGAAACCAGCATCATCATCTCCAAAGCCCTTGTAACAAGAAGATGTAAAATACTGGAATACATCTAGGCAATTATCCTCAAAGTCCTTGTTGGATCCATGCAGAATTTGCTCTCTGTGATTGTCATACCATGCGCGTTCTTGTCGATCACTGAGCACTTCATATGCTTGCTGTACTAACTGAAACTGCTCCTTTGCTTCATCTGGATTGGAAAGATTTTTGTCTGGATGCCATCGCAGTGCGAGTTTCTTGTAGGCGCTCTTGATGTCGGCGTCTTCAACGTCTCGTGGAACATTCAGCACCTCGTAATAGCACCGCATGTCGACCACGGGCTAGCACTAATTCAAAGGAAAGCTGGCAGCGAATACTGGGTATTGACGAGCAGCGGGAATGAAATATGTGCGCGCATTCGCGAGTCAATCAAAAGGCGAGTTATTTTCGTCACGTTGTGAAATTGGCAAAGCGCTTCATAGCATTTTAACTCTGAATCTTACCAATTCTTGTGTGATGTGCGGATTTAGCACGACATTACGTCGAGTTAGATGTAAGGTTAGAATTTACATGGATTTTTGATGATCCACTAGAAATTTTGGAATCAAATGTTGCGCAAGATGTTTGAAGTTAGGCTAAATCCAAACAAAGTATGAAATAATCAATTTATTCTCTTTTAAAATTGCTACTGTATTTTATGATAATTATGTATTTTCAATTTCTATTTCTATTGTCTCTACAATATTTGAAACTGGTGAATTTAAACCTGAATTTTCCACCATTTGTGAAATATACTTATTTACAGTTTTCATACATGGCAGTGGTAGAATTTTGGTTTCTCTAAGAAAATTGTAAAACGATGGCGATCTCATACTCATCTGCATGGAAAGATTTAACCATTCCTCACTATATCGATGTCCGCTGGTGTCTTTCTTTGAAGCAGCCGAAATAATCTCTGTTACTGCTAATCTCTCAGATGCGCTCATATTCAGAGCGTTGCACTTTGTTTCGATAGATTCCTTTCGAATAGACGCAATTTCTTCTTTGGCTGCAGTTAAAGCATTTGTTAGGGATTCCACTTGCATTTTGGCTCGAGCTTTTGTCGGCGTTCAGACAAAATATCCTTGCGTAACTTTATAAGTCTTAACTTTTCAATGGTGTCTTTTGAGTGTCGATTTTCCTCATCGATATTTGCATACTTTTGTTTCAAGTTGTGCACTAATCTACAGCAGAATATACAGTACTTAGTTGTGGCAAGCAGAGTGCAATTTTTATGCCGCCATGTTTCAAAACTATCTTTGTATGCTTTGTTATCGGATAAGTGTCCAATGTGGTCATTTTCCAAACCTATGCAAACGCGCTGATTTTCAAAATGAGTTAAGATGTGTACTAAAGATTTAACGTCACATAACACGCTCGGACATTTCTTGGATGCCAATGATACAGGTTTATTATGTATAAAGTACTGAATATTACGATTTGCATCGATAAGAACGCATTTATCAACATAGGGAACATCAGTGCACTTTACATGCGTAAAATATAATCGTTCCCCTGCTCCTGATGTTAAATCAATCACATTCCACATTGTCGGTAATGTTATTGTGGATTGAAGCGTTGGTGGACCATTAATTGTACTTATACCTGAAATAATTCTGATTATTTATTATTTTCTGAATTATTTATCTCAGAAGAGAAGAACAGATAACAATAACTTACAAGCACTGCTTATTACAGTTAATTTGGCGGAGTAATCAATTAAACTGGACTGGTCGGTAGTTGATTCACCTAAAATTTAAACATTTGAATAGTTTAATCTTTAATCTTTTAGATATAAATATTAAATAGTTTTATTTATACCTGCAGCATAATTGTGATCTGAGATTTCCTCTGATAGTTCATGCATGTCCATCTCCAATAAATTTGATGAATCAAATAAATACTTGGATGGCACAGCGGATATACTTAAACGTGGTCTTTTAGTATTTTCATGTAACTAAAACAAGAAATGTTCAGAATCCAATTTTTGAAATTACTACTGTGAAATACTTATATTCTATGATCTACGTACCTCAGATTCAATTTTTGGAGTGAGAATATCCTTATCTTCAAAGTGTTTTTCACAAACAAACTGCCTAGAGCCTAGACATTCAATCTCAGGAATAACATTAATCCATTTTTGCCGCAGAGATTTATCCAATGGTACATGAAATAATGATATACGTGATTTATCATTGCTTTTCTGCTACCGGTATCACAATTTTTAACAACACAGCACCTTGGCATTCTGCAAACTTCTCTTTAACTGACTTTACAAATAAATTATTTTGCAGTTTACACCCTAGGGACACAATAATACGCTTCAAAACAAGCTAAAACTCTTTTGTCCCGTTTGTTTACAAATTTATCAAGCAAGTGAGGTTATTGTCACTTGCCTCAGCTGGTTTGGGAAGCCGAGTGAATTCTGGTAATGTTTTTACAATATTTTTGTTTTTATTTATATTTAATTAAAAAGTAAACTGGAATATCTATTCTGTTAGATCCTTGCATTGAAATTAGTTATATTTGCACTGTTAAATAGTAAAAACAAAGTATTTCATAACCATACAAAGTCATGTTTTACAAATCAATAAATATCATTTTATTTGATTGCAGTTTATCAAAAATGATGCCTGGAAGAATGAATCTCGGGACCGGAATTCCGGACAACCCGCTAAGCCTCTCATGGCATGACTCTGCTTGGATCCCAGCATTAAACACCACCAATGTAATGGATTACTTCTCAGAAAGATCAAATCCATTCTTTGATAGAACATGCAATAATGAAATAGTTAAAATGCAGCGTTTAAATCCGGACCAGCTACAGAACATGACTGGATTAGAATATGTGCTTCTGCATGTGCAGGAACCAATTTTATATGTCATCAGAAAACAACACAGACACAGTTCTCAACAAGCTACACCAATTGCAGACTATTATATTATTGCTGGTGTAATTTACCAAGCCCCAGATCTTGCTAGTGTATTAAATTCACGCCTTGTGAGTATTTCAATCAAAATAATACTCCATTCTCATATTTATAACTTTTACATTTGTTTTAGTTGTCATTTGTCCACCATTTACAATCATCATTTGAAGAAGCATCTAGTTTCTCGCGTTATCACCCCAGCAAAGGATATTCATGGGATTTCAAGTCACAAAGACTTAATGTTGAGAAAGCAAAGAAAGAAGAAAAGCCCAGGGAAGAACCTAGTTCGCTCTTTCAAAGACAACGCGTTGATATGCTTCTTGTGGAATTAAGCAAAAAGTTCCCGCTGCCGACGCCATCACAAATCAAAGCGCAGGCGCAGCAACAAGGCACTGGTTCCACAGCAGGCACGACACCTGGAGGTGCAGCTCCTGGCACAGCACAAGTAAAAGTCGAACAACAAGAAAATGGAAATGTATCCGATGGAAAAGATATGAAAAACGCACAGGTTAAAGACGAGAAAATCAAACCGCCACCCGAAAAGAAGCAGAGAATTAATTAGATAGTATTTGTAAGATCAATTTAAGGCATTACATATTTATAACAACAAGTATTCAATAATGAATTACTGTTTGAGCATAAATCACGTGTTCACCCCCTCACGTTTTATAAACGAGCACGTGCGAGCTACAAGTGTGGCCACACGGGAGTATAATAATCGTTCACAGCCTTGTCAGCGGCTGAATTGATTGCAACGCAAACCAGTCGCGAGCGTTACAAGTCTATAAATAGAAGAAACGCGTATACAGTCGTTGACTGACATTTGGGACACGCGGATTGCACCCCCTGTTGACTTGCAATTGATATTAGATTAATATTGTGGTATTTATGGCTACATAACAATGTTTCAAAATTTCCGTTTTGGATTCAATGTGCAGAACAAGATCATGCAACTCTCAAACAAAGACATCGTTTCTCGACGGCGTTGGTCGTAAATATTCGGAATCAATGCGAGCTCAGTTGCACGCAAGTTGATTGCATTTGTTGTCTCTTTTGTAATGCACGTAATCTACACTTGCGATCAGGACAACAGCAGTTGTGCGCATGCGCAGCAAGTCACGGGCACGTTGTAGCGTGACGGGTCACACTTCAGCACTGCTACTCATTCTCACGTATTTTAGCTGCACTTCGATTGTGTGTAGAGTGTGAAACTGTAAGGGCGCATTGCATTGGTCCCGAGGCATACAAAATACGCGTACATAGCAACGTACTGCGTGCGGATATCACTATCCGCACTCGTTGCTTTTCGTCGTCGAGCGCGTACCACGGAGTGAATAATTTCGCGTCGCGCTTATCGCGATCTAGTCGAAGTGTACGTCGCCCGCTGGAAAAACATTTGAATACCCTTGGTTGATCCGTCCACGCCTGGGCTACACCAAGCCAACGACGACGAGTAAACCGTACAATCCCTGCAGCAAGACGGGCGTGCACGACATCCTGGACGCGATGAGCGATGATGATCGGGACATCGATGTTGACAGTGATGTAAGTACATTGCTTCACAATGCTTATTCGCTTTTTTCTTCTTCCGTAACGATTAGTAATTAGAGATCGCCTTTTGCTTTGAGCGCTTTTCGTATTATTTTCAACTTGTTGAATTTCTAATATTTCTACGAATGAACAGGATGGGGAAGATTCTGATTCAAGGCAGTTACGGCAAGGTGGAGGCAACCAATACTATTCACAGGTGTGTATCGAGTGCTGCTCATTTGGTTGCCTGCACTTCCATGCAACGCTGTTCTAATTGCCGTCATTTCTGGTCTTTGCAGGCGGATAAGCGGGCCCATCACAACGCGCTGGAGAGGAAGCGAAGGGATCACATCAAGGACAGTTTTAGTAGCCTAAGAGATTCCGTGCCCGCTCTCAATGGTGAAAAAGTAAGTGTACGTCACATTTTTGAATACATCTTACAAACTTACATTTTAAATAATTTGTTGACTTTTTTCCATGTGGAGCCCATGGCGATTGTTATATTTATTCTATTCAAACAATTATGATTTCTAATAGTTTGTTTTGTATTAATTTAGTGTAGAATTAATTAGTAATCAGGTTGTTTGCTTTATTTCTCAATATATTCGATGATAGAGCAAATTTATTGTCAATATATTGAGAAAAAGTCGCTTTAGAAATCTGTGTTTGTGGTTGTTAACCAATAATACAATATCCCGCGGTAACAGTAGATTTTTAAGGTAATAGTAACCGCGGGATTATTGTATTTAGCTGTAGAGCAAGTCAGGTATACCGCATTTGATTGACATTTGTAATTTATGTGGATGTTATTTTTAGGCGAGTCGCGCACAAATTCTGAAAAAGGCCGCTGAATACATTCAGCACATGCGAACGCGTAACTCCGGCCACCAGCAGGACATCGAAGACCTACGAAGGCAGAATATTCTACTAGAGTCGCAGATACGCAAGTTAGAAAAGGCCAAATCGACGGGAACATTCATCGATGGCGACCTTAAGAACGAGTACGCAGAATCGGAGTCGGACACGTCCGACATGGAGGATTCAGCCAATCAAAAACAGGCGAAGAAGATGAAGATTGCTTATCACTAGCCGACCGGCGGCTGTAACAACGCGTAGACGCAACCGAGTACTCTTGCAGGCGTTCGGGAGTATTGCGGGTTGCGTCCTACGTCAGCCGCCGCTACCTGCGTCACTAATCTACAAGCAAACGAGTATCATGGCTGCAGGATACTGCAAGTACAACTTACTCAACTTGATTACTGTGTCGTGCAATGAGCAGTATTTCACCACGTAGCTAGGTAAACAAATGAAACAAAAAAAGTTAAACGAGCAAAGTGCAAATACTTCATCGGCTACTCTTCGTATTGCGCGGGCGACGAGTCACAATGATGTTGAATAAAAATTTTGTTTTAGTCAAAATTGATTTTTAAAGAATATGATCGGAATAGAAATATATTTATATTTATCTGTTTTGTTTTGGTTTGACGATGACAACGGCTACTGAAATTCAACGCGCAAAAGAGACTTTAAGTTATTTAGTGAAATCATGTAAATGTTACGTTTCATTTTCTGTATCTCTCTCGTATCTCGTCAAAACACTTATTTTTGTTATGTATAGCGTGTAAGCATAAGTTTGATGTAATAAATTATACAAGTTTTAATGTCTTGTTGCCGTAGATTTGCTGGATTACCAGTAGACGAGTGAACTGATCGATTTTGCACGAATCTTGACTGTTGCACAACCATTTAGCAGGTCTTTGATGTTGAGATTAACATTATCTTCGGACCTGGAGTTAATATTTTGTGATTACCGGTTTAATTTTAATTTTGCTTTTTATGTATTTCTTACTTGTTGTAGATTATTAATACTATTCCGTTGTCCGGACGTTTATATGCCAAAACTCTGATTCTTTTGTTATGTAAGGCAGTTTCAACAGAAATACGGAGGGATCCGCGCGATAAGAACTTGGAAAAATGGCCCATGATGTAGTAGGTTGGCTGTTTATAGAATTCATCAGCATCAGAATTGATTATTATCGTCGAATCTGCGTGAAAATGCGTGTAGACTGGTCCACCGTACATATCAAGAGCGATATTCCAGTCTATCCATCCAGCTGCACCGTATTCTAAGTCCTGAAAATGTATATTTTTTAAATTATCTTCTCTGTTGTTATGCAATTTACATCGAAGATGTCATCAGCGTAACGTTCAGCTCGAGACCATGATCCTAGTTCGACAGATGGAAATTGTAAGAAACCTATGAATGAAAGGTAAAATTGTTATTTTGGAAAGTTTACATGCCATTGTAAAATTACCATTTGTTGCCTCGGTGCCTATGATAAACAAATCCTTTTTCGGTGTTTTTGCGAAGTTTAAGAAAGCTTTTGGTGTTATTTTGTTTAAGTACCAGTGCACACCAACGCCATCTACGTAGGAAAGGGCTTGGTCGTCACGAAAAAACTAAAAAGTTGTTAAATGATCAAAAAGGGACAAAATATGACTAAAATACGCTTATTATTTGGTAGTTGTCATTTTGGAACATTAAAAGCTCTTCAAAATTAAGTTCTAAACTCAAACTTTGACAAGATAGTGAAAAATTGGTGAATTTCTATACATTACCTTAGTTAAACGTGGTAAAATATCTTCTGATCATCATGAATGATAATTTTGGTAGCGTTGAATTGCTTTGAACTTCTTATCGTGGGTCCCAGGTTTTTACGCACCCATCTTGCCTAAAACCGACTTAATAGTAAATGTTATTACTAAATAACTAGTTACATACAACATCTGCCATGAACCATCCTAGAATAGGTAACGGAAAGGGCCAAAAGCCATTCCACGGTTCATTTCCAGTAGTAATGCCCCAAACATTTACGCCAGCCTCTGAATACTTCTCTAAAAACTTGATATAATAATCAGCATAGGTTTGGTAGTACTTGTGTTTTAAAACGCCCATAAATGCGTAGTTATCATTTGATTTCATCCAAAATGGGCACGTCCATGGAGATGCAATGATATTTAATTGTGGATTTAGTTCTAAAGCTTTGCGAAGAACAGGAATCTAAAAATAATTATTTAAGTAATATTTTATTTGATTTAAATTGTTTTACTAGCTTTTAACTTGTAATCTTCTTCTTTTAATGCAAAATGTTCCAGTTTATTATCGTCTACAATCTCTGCATAACTATAAGGTCCTCTTGAAAAATCAGTCGCACCCATTGGTATTCGTCCCATACTATATTCAATCCCAGTAGGAGAATAGTAACTTTCAATTAACCGAGTTTTAGCATCTTCGCTTAGTTTTTGTATGTTTAATCCTGCAGAATCGGTTATACTACCTCCAAAACCCAATATTTCATCTTTCAAGTTTAAAAATCTAACGTCTATTGTTATATTTGTTTGGGAACAAACGGTGGTTGAGGAAAAATGGCCATGTTGTCGTAAAAACCGCAATCCGGAAGATGTTGACGTATATAAATGAAATTTTCCTTTAGATATTGGTGTTATTTGCGGTATTTCATCGCAATATGTAGCATTGCATCTGCAAACGATGCTGTCGGAGTCAAAACGCATCGCGATACATTTTCCCATGACTAAGCAATAAACACAGCGATAAATAATTAACTGTTGAACAATAAATAACAAAGCATGAAATCTTCGTGACTTACCTGATGGTAATATATCCAAAATAATGAAACATATTAAAATATATACACAAAATTTCATTTTAAACATATTTTTGTTCATTTGAAACTTAATTCTTGTTCTATTGGTGCACCAACTTGAATATTGGCTTAAACATTATTAAATTGTGCACTACGTTTTATTTTACAACTTCTGTGTTATTTTTGAGTGAGTTTAAGGTCACTTTAGCACATATTTCAAAATTGTACGTTCAACGGTGCACTTTTGAAATCACATCACATATTGCTATTAATAACGCAATATTAACTTAATTCATTAGTTAAATAATTAAAACATTTGCCAAAATCCATTAACTATCGAAATAACCATCAAGGTGATGCTCAAGGCAAGAACTAACATTCAATATGTATTCGCAGGTACTTGTAATGTTTGATAAGTACACTTAAGTTAAGACGGACGTAAATGTTTCGTTGTGTATGAATATGTATATATTGCTAGATTAAACGTACACTTTGCAAGCACTTTTAACTGATGATGGTCGTTAGCATACACTGTAACGTGCAAAATATGCACATGGCGAAAAAATGCCAAAACTTTCTAAACACTCGTCTTCGCGTCCATTTTTCTCACGTGCGATGAATGCACTCGTGCGCTATGCGCTTAGATGGAACGTGTGTGGATGAGGTGAAGATTCATTAATCAATCGACAAATTCATCTTCCTGCTTTCGGCGGTCACGACGTGTGGGTTTAATACCCTGCGGAAAGAATACCGAAATGCCACAAACAATTGAAACCAGTTGCTGGTGATTTGACTGCGATTAGAATTTCATCGCATGAAATACTTGATTGTTGTTGAATAGAAACTTGCTGCACATTGATGGCATTTCGTAGTTTATAGAAAACGTTTAAGTTGTGTTATGCGTTGAATTATATTGCGTGATAAGAAATTATAGACATAGCGACCTAATTTTGTATTTAATATGCAATATTGATAACGAAAGAGAAATATATTTGATTTTTACTAGAAAAAGGAAGTTAACAAACTTGTAAAATAGATAATTAGGGTTTTTGGCGTCCGAAACCATGATAGGACATATAAAATCATTAAAAATATTTATTTTGGTATAATTTATATTAAAAAATCTTAAAGAAATATTTTTTATTGAAAGTTTTGCAAAATATTCTGCATACTGCGATTAATATTACCTGTTTGTTGTTTGTTTAAACTTCACACATATCACATAATATCACATATCACAATTTCATTAACTATGCAAACACATTCATCAAATTATAACCAATTTGCTTATATCTCCGCTTTCTGTGGCATTAGTCCTCTACAATTCACTATCAAAAATGAGCACATCAAAAACTTGCTTCTTTCTGAAGCAATGGCTCCGTTGGTTGTTAATATTTCCACACTACAATACAAAAACCGAATTATTTGAGTACCGTCAATATAAATTCGTGTTTCTCTTATTACTTTTGGGTCTACTTGCAGTAATCAAACAAGCAGCAAAGCATATTTATCTTATCCCATGTTCTATGTATGAAATTTTTGGAGAAGTTTTAATATTTTTGGTAATGCTTAATCACATTTTAACAAACACTCCGCAGAAAACCCAACAACTAAACAAGTTATTTCAATACATGGAGAAACTGGACTATGACCAAAAGAGCAAAGATTCCCACATGAAATGTTTCTGTTTATTTTGGTTTACCTTTTCTGTTTTTGGAATTATTTGGACTGCTCTGGTTTTGATTCGAAATGAATCTCCATCAATCGTCTTTCAACGAGGTGTGGAAGTTTATATAGTGTACTACATGGAGGCAATGGTAGTTTGGCGAAATGTCCTTTGCATCAAAATGAAACGCCAACTTGAAGGACTAAACACACAGTTAAAAAGTATTGATTTACATCAGAGTGGTACCAATGAAAGATATGATTTACTGGATCAATTGACCACTCATCATAATATTATTATGAACTGGGTTGATGTTTATAATCAACTTTTGGGCTGTCCAATTTTTTTAGTTAAAGTGTTTGAATCTTATCACGTTTTGGCGGTTTTGGACATTTGTTTAAGCAAGTATATGAAAAATTCTACGATGGATCACACAGCTTTAATGATGCATATTATGAATATCTATATAGTTGTAAGATAATATTTTGAATCACAAAATATCATTATTGTTTAACATTCGAATAAAAATTATTTTTTTAGGCTCAGGTTTTTATCACTGCAAATATTTGCGAGACGTTTAGCAATGAAGGGCGTAAAACAGTGTGTATTGCAAATAATTTAATGTTGGATTGCGACTCTAAGTATTTTATAACAAAGAAGAAGTTGGAGTTCTTGTGGGAACAAGCGAGTGACCGATGCCCCAAGTTTTCAGCATGGGGATTTTTGATGTGAATCATGCGTTGATTTTACATTTTAAATTTGACCATGTTATTGACGTATGTTATCGTTATTATTCAGACACATCAAGCTTAGGAAGACGTTGAGTTAGGATAATATACATGTTTTTTTGTAGAATATGTGACATTCATGTGACAATTAATTTTTATTTCTATACATTAGTTAGAATATAATAAATTCCTTGTAATATCTAACGTATATATAATTAATACAGGAAATACATTTTTCTTGCATATGACCTAAATACTAAAGTAATGTAAACAAAATAGATAAATCTTTATCATTCCAACAATAAAAAAACATTCTACGTCATATAAAAGCTCATGTTTATCAATACAAACAAAAATAGAAAAAACTGTCTATCGTAAACCACACTTAAAATCACAGCAATTCAACCCCAGCCTTTAATGATTCAATTATATTTTGATTATGATAACCATCACATGAATTGTACGACAAATTCAATATAAATTACGCCTACACGTTTTTTACGTTTACCTTGTAATGCAACTACGTAGTTTAATCACCAATCCAATAAAGGGTTATCATTTATCGTTTTCTAATTTATCTAATAGGATAGACAAATCAGAAA